CCTCCAAACAAGGTTGCTAACTGGATAACGGTCCAGTTCAGACACAGAGTCTGACCTTCCACTTTGGTTGAGAAGCTCTGCGATACAAAGACCAACTCGCTCAGCCAACTGGTCAGGCCCGCAACCATGAAGCGGCAGGAAGTCCGGACGATCATAATCTTCCAGAAACCCCTTGACCAGGTGATCCTCCGTTTTCTCTTTCCTGTCTGCTCCCAAATGGCTCCCATTCTTATGAGCAGGTTCTTGGTAAACTTGAAAAACGTTCCTGCAGTTTTCTTCTCGACTCTAGAGTAGCTAGATCAATAGTAAACCTCCAAGCCTTCCCTACCTTTTGTAACAGGGGTAAGATTTTCTCCCTTTCTACATAATTGCGTTTAGCAAAAGGAAGGGAGATGCTAATTAAAGAAGAGGCGCCATTAAAAGCCTGGACAGGGAAGGAAACCTGAACAGTGAAATTCATTATATGTCCAGAACTCTCTTAGGACGTGATACTTGGTGCGGAAAGAAATTTTTCCATTTACCGGGCCACTGAGGCCAATGCAAAGACTATGCTACCGACAGATGACGCAGATGACGTTTGCAACGCCCTCTTTGAAGCTGTAACCATTCCCATGAACAATCTAGATGGCCCTTGTGCGCAGTGGACTCACATTTCCAATGACGAGAGAAATGAACCTCGTAAGCTCCTACTTGAGTATGCGAGCATCTTCTCATGGTAGGGTGCAGAACTGGGACGAACAAATATCCTCAAGCATACAACTGATACTGGCGAAGGTAGACTCATCTAGCAACCACCCCGACGTATTCCATCACCACTGCTAGAAGAAGTGAACCGTCTGGTTGAAGAGATGATTTGAGACGAGGTTATAAAGCCGTCCAAGTTACCATGGGCCTATTCAATCGCGATGGTAAAGAAGAATAACGGTAGTCTACGGTAATGCATCGATTATAGGAAGTTGAACGCTGTAGCCAAGGTGGATGCATTCCCCCTACCTCACACTAACGACTCACTAGACGCCTTACATGGGTCGCATTGGTTCTTTACCCTAGATTTGAGGTCAGGATATTAGCAAGTAGAAGTGGTAGAGGCAGACCGAGAAAAGACAGATTTATATTGCTAAACGGGCTTTATGAATTCTAAAGGATGCCCTTTGGACTCTGCAACTCAGTGGCCACCTTCCAGCGCCTGATACAAACGGCCCTGATCGGCCTATTCCCAAAGCATTGCATAGTCGATCTTGACGACATTCCTGTTTTCGCTGGAGATATTCGAGAGCATAATGCCAACCTTAAACTAGTGTTGGGTAGTCTAGGAGACGCAGGGTTAACCTTGAACCCGAAGAAGTGCCGTTTCCTGCAACGCTCGTTCACCTTCCTAGGACATACGGTCCCGTTGAATGGGATGGCAGTCACCAAAACCGCGCACAACAAGTAAGGACATGGCCTACACCAAATAACCAGTTAAGGCTCCACAGTTTCCTAGGTCTGGCAAATTATTGCCGGTGTTTCGTTAAAGGGTTAAGCCGAAAGGCTGGCGAAGAAGAATCTAAAGTGAGAGAAAAAGAATGATTAAGCGTTTAAAGAAATGAAGCTAATGCTCTGCTCCGCGCCAATTCTAGCATTGCCAAACTTTGAATTGAACGCTCCACCGTTTGTACTGGATTCGGATGTGAGCGACGTGGTGGTGTACTCTCACGAAGGGACAAAAAGGAAGGAAAGAGACACAGACTAGGTAAAAAAAAAGAGACAGAAAAGTACAACACAACGAGAGCTGTTCGCTATCTACTCAAGGGTTCGACACTTCATACATTACCTGATAGCGAGGAAATTCACTGTTAGAACCGATCATCAGACACTCACCTGGTTAAAAACAATGAAGGAGATCGATCGTTCGGTTGCACTTTGGTACGAAGAACTGCAGCAATATGATTTTACAGTCCAATACCGAAAAAGAAAAAGTGTGCAAGATATTTTAAATATTAACTTGTTGCTTAGCTTCTAGTTATGATTTTATTACTCATACATATTATTTATTTAGCATTATAGGAACCATTTCCCCTATTTTGCGACACATAAGTAGCTTCTAAGGTTTGTAACTCTTATTTCCGCGACTAGAAAGCGATAAACTGCGCAAAAAATCTAATTGAGCGAAATCAAAAATTTCAGATTCAGTTTGAATTGTAATTGAAAATTGCACTCAGAGACACGGGGTAATCAATTTGCAAATCCATTTTGAACATTGTTGAACAAACTTGACACCCATATCATAATCCCAGGCAATAGTGAAAATATTTGTCACTACACAAAATAGGTTTGTTAGTATAGCAATTTAAACAAGCACCGGAGTTTATCAGTCTCCTCGTTGTCCCTTTCATTCCATCTCCTTAGTACCCGAAAGCAAACATGCGCTTCACGATGCCACATCGACGGCGGTGTCAATAAGAACTTGAAGTGGCATTAGTTGTACCTCTAATTGTCTGCACCACAGCACCGAACCCATTCCTTCATCCACTGATGTTCCTTTTCACATGTATATATGACCCTACTCCACTCACAGTTCCCTCATTCGACCCATCCCAGTCCCGATGGGGTTGCCAATATTCCCTCTGCACGACTTTATTTCTGCCCGAAAACACCACATTCACGTAGAGTAAAAAACGATTCTGCGACGTCAATGGAGGCTGTGGAGCTGCGATTAGAACGTTTTGCGTCGGTTTTCTATTAGGTTGTCTAAACAAATGGTTCTATGGTGCAGTCAAGCAATACACTTGGCTGAATACTGTTGGAATAAACGGAAATGCGAATAGCACTGATTTAATGGTTATCTGCAGCTCATCTGGCAAGTGTAGTAGTATACTGGGATGGGTTTAATTACCATTAACTTCATGACTTCTTCATTTAACCTAGCTCTTTATTCGAGGTTGCACGAGGAGTGTTCAGGGTAATATACCATTTTTAGATCTGTTTTTGCCTGGGGAAAGTTGCTTGTTCGTCAAATTCAGAGCAAGTTAAGGCGTGCTAGCTGTGATTAGACGCCCCTATAAGCTCATTTAGGCACAGTAAATTACCGCTACTTTAATTGTTCAAAATGATGGCGCTTAACCAGAAATTGCAATGAGTGAATCAACTCTACAGACAAAAGTCGAGTAATATCAACGTTTAGCCCTTTAGGAAATGGATATTTTGCCCAGAAAATATTTGTTTTCCTTGATAGGTTGTGGACCAAAATAATGTAACGTACTTTAAGTGATGGATAAATCAAGAGGTCAAGTATCACTAGTAAACATCCTTATTTAACTAGTTTGCCACAAAGATTAAAATATAACAAGCATTTAGAAAACATAATTAACAGAAATTTCCAAAAAAAGCATTACTGTTTATCAATCAAAGGGAATGAATCGTAAAGTGTTCAACTGTTTAGGTACCACACACTAGACCAAATTATTTATTCTTCCTCAAAGCAATGTCAGAGGTTGTCTTTCTGGTGATAGTATGTAGTCATCCAAAAAAGAATCAGGAGATTTTTTTCGGGGGGACTTTAATTGAATACAGAATGGCACAAGTAACTCGATACAAATCGCCGCTTTTAAAATGCACTTTACAATCAAGTACTAACAGAAAGTGACACATAAAACGAAATTTGGATACTGTAGGTGAGTTGATGTTTGTACATTTGCAATGGGCTTTCATACTGCACGGCACAGTTAGCACAAATTAAGTACACTAAAGCATGTTTAGTGAGTACTATGTGAGCAGGTTATTTCGCTTTTCGAATAAACATACACATTGATGTAAATGCAGTGATTCGATGTATTGCCCAACTGTGTCCACGTAGGCACTTCAGTCTCTGCAGGTTCTACTTCTGCTTTGTGGCATGGCCTTCGGACCAGCTCTTCCACACATTAGTACTGCAGCATCTTCCATACTACTTTGAGGTACTACAACTTCGGGGAAGACTCGAGGTGCTATCCAAATATGTCATGTTCTATTCATTATGTAAACCAGAAAATAATTTTAAAGTGCTGCTATTGAAAATACAATGGAAATATTTCGTCGTACATCGTATAATTTACCGTCTCGAAACACGTTTTAGTATCAAAATAATTTCAGAGTTGTACTGATGAGCGAAAGATGGTTACACATTTGGCTTACCCCCAATTAATTTGAAATACTAGAAGTGTAGGTCAGAATGTGGCAATTACTAAAATAAGTCTTGATATATGACGAACACCTTGAGAAAACTAAAGTCAATATAGAATTGATCCAAACCTAAATGCCATATTACCTTAGAAATAGGAAATAGGTGAAATTTTATATTGGAAATAATAGGCAGCATGAAATATATGATAGGCACCGGCAAGGCTGGACTGATATGGCAACCACCCAGAAACATACCACCCCTCCGCCAGGGGAGGCGAACCATTTATTCGACTGGATGCTGAATGACGAGGTCATAAGATCCCCTAAGTCACCAAAGGCCCACTGGTTACTCTGGTAAATAAAAATATGGAAGACTTCAACTGCGTGTCAATTGCAGAGAACCAAACGCAGTGATAAAGAGGTACGCCCGTTCCCTTTCCCACAAGTAATTCTTTAAACTCCCTTTAGGTATGTAAAAGAGGTTCACCTTGTTGGGCTTAAAACTAAAATATTGGCAAATGGCCCTTCAGACTGCTGCGCAACGCCCACTCTTCAATGACTTGTGCGAATTGCTTTAATTGGACTGTTCCAGAAATATTGAGTGGTATGCCTAGACGATAGCTGTTTCAGTAGAGGTGTTTGGGAATGTTGGATGACCTATAAGAAGCAAGCGTGAAACTAAGAATTGTCCGTTTCTAAAACGCTCAGCCAACTTTTCGAGACATACTGTCTTGGACGCGATGGTGGTTATTGAAGATTGTACAAAGGAAGTGGGAGCCTGGCCAGCACCAGCTAAGACAGGAAATTCGCTGCATAACCCTATGGTAAAGCAGGCCAAAAGCAGTTCAATGCCGAGGCGTTCAAAAACCTGTGGTGAATGCTCTCCTCCCCACCGGCATTTGCATCGCCCAATTTCCATTAGATGACTGGCCATTAGTTGTGGACACTGACGCTAGTGATACGGCTGTCAGAGACAAAGGTTGGAAGCACATCAGCAGTTACACGGGCACCAAACCCAATAAGCGGGTCAGCGAGAAAACAACAAGGAAGTTAGTAGTGAGAATGGTGCATCAGGCGTTGATTCGGTTAAAACAATGCGAGGCACATCGTTCGGTGTCGCGTTGGTACGAGGAACTGTAGCAGCAAGATTTCATAGTGCAGTACAGTAAATACAAAGAAAATATCAACAAAGATGCTTTATCCCGCACCCCAAACCCTAAAAAAACTAGTGATATTTCCATGAGTACCATCCTTTTGAACGAACTCAGTAAGTACCTGTGAAAAAGTACGCAAAGCACCGATCCCAATGTGGCTCTGATGTGCGAGTGGTTTCTTACATTTTCTCATAAGCCAACAAACGATGATGGTAAAAGACGTTGACAGAAGGAAACTTCGTCACCAAGCAAGGTAGTCAAACTTGCATGACGTAAAATCGACTCCAGAGGATGAGGTCTTAATATACCGACATCGGATCAAAGCACCTAAGAGCTTAGCAGTTTCAGGTTAGCAAAAACAGCTCCCAGAGATTTACGGAAGTAGTTTAGTCATGTGGAGGAAAAAATATGCTAAACATCTCAGGCAAAAACTGGTGATGGCTCTCAGCTGCCCAAAGTATACGTGCTGTCTGCTGGACCAGCATTACAGCAGATTCATCACTAATATTACACATACAGGGTTCTCAGAGAAGAGAGTGGGCTTTGCCATTGCGAGTTTTTTGACGATTACATATGAAGGAATGGCTGATTATGTTAAGGTGGTTGAGGTAGAAGCCTTGCAGGTCCAACGCGCTGAAACAGTCATTTCTGTTTTTTAAAATCGGTGGCGATCAAGATGGCAAATTTGAAAGTGCACTTCCATGTGACCATGCAAAACTTTCGAGAACTCAAAGACACAAAACCTAGTCACTGCAGGGTAATTAACAGGTTAAAAGGAGGAGTAGCACCTTAATTAGACTACTTTAGGCTTCCACAAAGAAAGTCCAGTCACGGAATTGGGATTTATGCGTAGACCTGTGTATTCTTGCCTATAGGACTACAACCCATGCATTCACCAGCATTTAGCCATATGACATGCTTCCGTCCGCGAGGTGAGAGCACCAACTGATACTTACTTCTAACCGTAAAGTATTTAGTCACAACACTCAAGAGTACTTAATTAGAGTCAAAGGTAAGACAAATTTTTAACATCCATACTTGCTGTATGGCGAAGAGACTGTGCGACAAATGCAGCCATTCCACTGTAGCGTCCTGAGACTCCCTTAAGCCAAAAGAAGTCACAATACTCGGGCAGAATATATATATTCAGCACATAGAAGGTGTCTGGGCTATTGGCATGGCCCCAAAGGCCAGCCCACCCAGCGAGGTACAAGGGGGCTAATTCAAAATACAAAAGTGGCGCCTCATCAGAACCGAGGGATAAACCACTAGCGTATTACACCACCATCAATCAAAATGGATCTAATGCTGCTAATATAGACCTGCTCCACCTTTCCGGAGTATATCACAAATTCCACTACACTTGGATCAAGGATGCATATCGGGTGACCAAGCCCATTCCACAAACAAATTACTTGGTTTGCATTACCTAGATCTGTGCACAACCAATCACGGTGCAACGTAATAAGATGCGCCTTTATAAAGGCACAACGCCCGATGGGCACAGAGATGCAGTGTATGTGCTAACTGAGGAAATATGCCCCAAGGGAAGCACCGCAGACAGTGCGCAAAAGGATGGGAGCTATGTAATGAATACTTGTTTGAATGGAGCTTCAAGGTCATAAGCGGGTAGAATACATTAACCGCATGACTTCAAAAACGCAACTGATCCTCAAGGGGTAGACAAATTTTGATCCCACCACAAAACTCTGATCATTTATAAAAGTCTACATTACCACTAAACGTAGTGCCTTCCTCTAATCGGTGGCCTAGATCCAGGGTACCAACAGCTGCGGTAGAAAGTAGAAAATGTGACGTTTCAATAATAAATTCAATAAACAATCGAAGAAAAATGCAGTACGTATAGGTTTGGATGCACCTTCTAGGCAAGTTTACGTGGCCACATGAGTAGGCTGATTCCTTTAATCCCTTTCAATCTTAATAAATTGTAGATGCCCCATATCGCCGATAAATTGAAGCATTAATCACCCTCCCACCCACTCCTCTATTT